TTTGTTTCGAGGAGCTATCAACTGTATTGGTACGTATCGAAGCGGTGTTGAACTCTCGGCCTATCACACCGCTATCAGACGACCCAGAGGACTTCGAGCCATTAAGTCCGGGTCACTTTTTGATCTTCAGACCATTGACAGCTATCACCCGTCCGGAAGTCAGCGTTCGAGTCAACATCCAAGGTCGCGTTTCGAGCACATCACCCAAATCATCCAGCACTTTTGGGATCGCTGGAGTTCAGAGTACCTATCGTCACTACAACAAAGCTACAAATGGCACACACGGATTGAAGTCAAGATTGGACAACTTGTGCTAATCAAGAAAGACAATTTGCCAGTGCAAAAATGGTTGCTTGGTCGAATTATCGAATTGTTCCCTGGTTCTGATGGAGTAACGAGAGTGGTCAACGTCAAAACCAAGAATGGAATCCTGCGAAGACCTGTTTCGAAACTATCCTTCCTTCCAATCGATCCAGAACAGACAGTTGGAAGATCCACCTTCCAACGGGGGGAGGATGTTTATTGTTCTTCGAATCGACGGCAGTAAGAAGTCAACCTACCCTACTTCGACCGTACACAGCAATCTGATCGTTTCGATGAGTGACGAACCAGCAGTCATCGAGCACCCACCGTCATTGGGCACCCACCATCATCGAGCACCCGTCGTCATCGTTTTTGTTCGTCATGTATACGAAGCCCAATGACGTTTATATAAGGTCTGGGCCAAAGGGCTTATTGGTGTTAGTGAAATGTGCAAATGGTTAGTGGTGTTCGTATTACATTGCAATGTTTATCTTTTTACACGAAACAGCTGTTGGCAGGGGCCTCATAGCCTAGTCAGTAAAGGCACGGTATTACCAAGCCGGAGGCGGCGGGTTCGATTCCCGGTCCGGTCGAGGGAATCTTTCGGGTTGGAAATTTTCTCGACTTCCCTGGGCATAGAGTATCATTGTGCTTGCCACACAATATACAAATTCATGCATTGTTATTGGCATCGAAAGCTCTCAATTAATAACTGTGGAAGTGCATTTAGAACACTAAGTTGAGAGCACGCAATAAGCTAATATGCGCTAAGCAATAAGCTTGAAATGCGAATAAGAAGAAGAAGAAGCTGTTGGCAGTGACGTATTTCTATCTGTTCTCAGTATGTTGGCAGTGACGTATATCTATCTGTTCGCAGATGTTCAGCAATGTTTACAACATTTTTGCTTCTAACACCAGCAAGCTGCCTGTTGGCCCAGACCTTATATAAATTTCATTGTACGAAGCCGGCTAACAATAACGAAACTGTGGAGAGTTTCTCTCGGGTTTATTAGTTGTAAGATAGTATGTATAAATTTGTGCACACATTCAAAAATACATATCAGTTTCCATAAATACGTCCATGAGTTCAGTCCAGTTTGATTGTCCGCTTAGCCAGAGAAAGCCGGTAACACGAGGCTCCACTAACTCGAGGAGCCGGACGGTGTCGACGTCTCGTACACGCTCTGACCCTCGTTGGCGATACTGCCATACAATGAAACCACTGGAAGTGGCTTCCGTTCTGATGGAGGATGCTTTTTGGATAGCGGAAGACAAAGTGTTTATTGTGTTGTACCTTTTGACTATAATTTCAAGATGTATTGCATAGTAACCAAGAATCCGTGGCTCTGTAAAGTTAATTCGATTGAGCCTTATCAAATAAATTAAAAAAAAAACTTGAATATGAGAGGAATGTTTTACTGTCACCAGTCGTTGTTTACAATTCAGCATTGCTATATTATACTCTTCCGGTTGCTGTTATGCAACTTAAATTTGACGTGCTTCATGTCAATGACCATACCTTTTGCCACACATGTGCTTAAGTGGTCCAGAAGGTATAGTTGACGCCTGTGAATCAGCGACTGCCGGTTCGAATCCCGAAATGCAAAGGTAATTTTTAGACTTATATTAACAATATAAATATGTAAATCCAATTAGTCAGCAACAACATAAATGCATAAGATATGAAGCGGTCTTCCCTTATTATTTTTGAAATAGAACTAGAAGGCTGAAAAAAGGTTGGAAAAGACTGTTATTTAATGCCTTAAAAGCTTATAATGTATATTACTGTTGAGCTTTTGGCTGATTAAAATCACTAGATTTAGATGTTTAAAAGCTAAACAAAGGTTAACGTGTGGTCTATGTACAGCAATATTCAATCTATGGCTGAAATAAAATCGATTAAACAACACTTGTTACGAATCAAATTGTTACCTGGGTTGTACACAACCCCACTAATTTTGTTTTATCTAGTCCGTTTATTTGGAAGGCTCAATCGTGATAGAGGAGAACATTTTCGAAGGATAAGATGAGGAGAGGAGCTTGGGGTGAAGTTTTGTTGTATCATCAGAACGTTGCCGCCAATATGAATGGTAGTGTGGTTCTAAATTCGTTTGGAGTTCGGCTGGAGCTACTAGTGGGCGACGATGAGACGCATCAAGTGGGTTAAACAAAACGGGTCAAGGATGAGTGTTGACGTCTTCGAACTCTTCAAAACAGTTAAAACGAATAACACTGTCAAATATTTATTTTTGCTATGATGCTTCGGCTAAAAGATAGACCTAGCGCCATCTGTACAAATCGATTTGACTTCATCGCAACAACAACAGGCTTGTTAATCGTTCCCATGGCACCGCATATTATTATTTTTTTAGTCTTTGGCAACTAGAAACAAGATTAGAACGATAGCTGTAAAATTCAAAATTCCCAAATCTCCATATAATTTTCAAAACATTTGTGCAACTTCCAAACCTTTTGTTTCCATAATATTTATTTGGTAAACTCAATATCTCTTGGAGTTAAACGGAGCTATTCAATTATTGAGATCTTGATGATTCTCCTTTTCTTCTCCTTCGCTTCGTGTGCCACCAGATCCACCCACTAATCTGCCGTCTTCCGTTACACAGACTCATATGTTGGGGCTATGAATCAACTTGGAGGTTTGTAAATGATTGTTTTTTTTTCAAAATGAATCACCCTAATGTAAATAAATAGAATCAAATTTTTGAACCTACAAAGTTGTTTATTAATCTAAATCCGAAATTCACGCAATTTCCGTTGTTTCATTTCTAAATGGCAATAGGTCAAATTTGAAATACACCAATAATATGCAACTCAATAGTTCAAACTGTTGTCTCCTGTTCTTCCTTTCCTCTATCCTTCTGAGTGTTTGTATGTTCTGTTATCCATTCAGATTCCATCTCATGCGATTTGAATTCTTTCGGCTATTCTGTTCCATATACTCTTCTTTTCCTTTCTTTTCTATGCTCTTGTTCCCCTTCGCTTTGATCCCTATCCCCCTATACATGTGGCAATTTTTCATTATTATAAATCGAATCAACATACTAGCATCTCTCAACCTGTCATTGTCGCAAGGAAGGACATCAACACTGTCCAAACACAAAGTATAGACACCCCTCTTCGAGCGGAGAACAAATACAACTGCAATCATCACTTTGACGCAGTACAGTGATACGCTTTTGGCTTCGTCGTTGCTGGCGAAGGGAACCTGGGAAGGAACCGAAATCAGTGTGTTTGGAAAGCACGTGTGAACTGCATTTCTCGTTTGATCAGCTGTTCTGCAGCAGCCTATAGCCTAGACATATGTCATCGTAAATTTTACGGAGAAGTTCTGCTGCAGAGCCGGCGTGAAGATTTGTGTCAGATTGGGTCCTACCGGAGAACCTGCTTCAGTCTATGTTTTTCTTTTTAGCCTCAATCTTCAGCCTAGTGTCTAGTGCTGCCCGAGCACACAGAGTGGAGTGAGTCTTTGAACTTCAAGGAAGCTGTCGAGTTGAGCTAATATACAAACGCCACTAGCTGTGAATACTAATCAAGGAGCGCGTAGGTGGGGGGGGGAGGATGCTCTCTTCCCGGAGGAGGACAAGGGGTAGGCATATGCATAAGCATAAGGGCGGAAGACACGAACTAAATACCGAGGGCCTCCAAGGACTAAGGAGAGAGAGAGAGCCGCTCGCTAATGAACTTGCGGTGCTACGGCAGAACAATGATGGTGACGGAGGAGGGTGACGATGGGAGCATATAAATATTTAAATTCGAATTGAAATTAGTACGGCTCGTTATTGGATTATGCAATTGTGAGTCTTTTGTTCTTAGGTCAACTATTAAGATAAGGGTGGGGGTGTTTTGAGTGCCAATAGGTGTCCTTGAAATCAAACTTGAGTTTGCAGAACAACTGACTTATTTCCTGCAACTGGAGTAAATATTCAATGATTCGAAAGTAATATTTGACCTTTGAATGCCAATCCCCCTTTGATTCCAAACGGAAGTATGGAATCCTTAAACATTTTGCGTTTATCTCCTTAATTAAGGTGATTGAGGATTGATATCAGAAATCGCCTCTATATACCTCAAATTTCAGATCTACCGCGAAAACAAAAACTATACACTTTGTGTGTCTCAATCGTCGTACTGACGTATAAATGTGCCGAAAATAGAACCACTTGAACCAGCTCCCGAAGATCAGGTGGTGCTTCACCAGCTAGTTGATAAGGGGCTACAATCTTTGGCCGAATAAATCGAAAACAACCCAACACTGAGATGTTGTAACTAATTTTCATCAAACCTTCATCATCGCTCCCCGCACGCCAATCCAGTTCAAGAGCATATCTCTCGGATAGACTCGGGACCGTGAAGCTGCCAACCATCCGAAACAGAGGAGGAATGTCTGGAAACTTTTCTTCTTAATTATGATCCCCAGTCGCGCGGCCATCAGCATTACTCAATTTTCCGTTGAGCCAGATCTGGGACTGGAAAGGCCACATCCCCCAGCATCATCATCATCATCTACATCATCATCGTCATCTTCATTCTTTTTCCATTATAGCCGAAAACTGGAAAACGCGCCCGGTCGCTTCGCTATCGCTGCTCAGTTTGCGTGAAAATTTGAATTAATTAAGACGTTTTGCTCGCGACCTCCTCTTGTGCTGAAGGGAAAAGAAAAACAAATTCGAGTCCCCATGCCTGAAAATAATAGTACCGTAGTGCCACCGCCAAGGATTCATCACCCGCCAGCGACGGTGGTATCCTGTCCTCACCATCCGCCGGATGGGTCCCTACCGCCAACCCTCAGGTCCTCCAGCGGAAAACCACCGATGTCGATAATCAAATTCCTCGAATTGGTACGCACCGAGCGCGCTCCGTCGAGTTCGTGATCCGATAATTGATTTCGATTTTTCGGGATGGGTCAATGCGGGGGGAAAAAAAGCGGAACTTGTGTGGTCAGCGTTTGGTAAAATGGGAATTAAATTCCGACTATGGTTTAATTACGTCGAAAGCTATGTGTAATGACACGGTTTGATCTGTTTGAATGCTGATGGTCAGTTAGTGTAGTCCAGCTCTGTTTTCAGCAGGAACGGATGGGTGCCGGTGTGACATCGCTATAGCTGGAGGTGGCTGCTGTAATCGTGAAGAATTAAGAGGGTGAAAAGTGAAAAACACCAACGCGGTTGGATCTTGATAGCTTCGGGCGATTGTGGTTCGCTTGTTTCTTTGTCGTTTGGTCAACATCACAGGGTTTAAAATGGGAGACTTTAGCAGCAATTTTGTGAGAGCTTTTGATTGTATCTGAGACGCTGGTGGATGATTGTTGCCTTTCTAGTACAGCCAGATGTACCGAAAGGCTATGATGTCACTTGAAAATTACATTTTTGATCCGTTTGTATACGTGTATTTTTTTTTAACTTATCCACTTTTCTGTTGAACGGTTGAATCGATTTAAGTGGAACTTTTTCCAGTTCGTAAATATGTTTCTGAATCCCATAGAGCCCTGTTGAATTTTATCCCGATCGAATGTTTGGTTCCGGAGATATGAACAAAAAACCCGATTAATCCACCTACCGGTGGTAGGAGCCTTTATCAGTGAAAAATTAGCTTCATTTCATTGTATGATCACTATCACAGGGGCACCCAGAACATGCTTGAATGTTGCTGACACTCAGTATCCGTTCCTCAGGGTTTGCCGGTATGAATAAATAGGAAAATTGTTTGCCAAATATCCGTAAACTGCTTTAGTAAACAATGACTTCATACATCAAGTTGTCGCAACTGCGAGTTGCTCGCCCACTCAAACTGAAACAACCATGAGGTAGGATAAAATTTCCCCATATTGAGCTTGCATGTTAACAATGTGCCTGTTTTTGAGCTGAGTACATCAACTTCAAATTACTCAATATTAAATTCTACACCACTTCCTCAACACTCAGGCATGTTTCGGGTGACCAGAATATGAAATAATGCATGTTTTAAATAAACGCATGAATATGCATGAATAGCATGTTTTAAATAAACGCATAACATTTCTCTTGTAACTAAACATGAAATCAATAGCGTTGCTAAGGACTTGCTGACAACTAATAAAGTCTTCGGTAGCTTCGATTTCGATTACAACAATACCTCTTCTTAATCGGATAATCCTAGGAGCTTCCGGTGTTCTTGAAATATTGTAGTATCCAGTGCTTTGGTGAATATATCCGCCAATTGCTTGTAGATTGGGATTGGCTCAATCTCCATTGTTCCCTTGTTGACATGATCCCACAGGAACTGATGCTTGACATCGATGTGTTTCGCTCTTCTGCATTCTGCGTGCTTGTCCTCGAAGATCGTGGCACAGCCAAGTTTACCGCACCGTATTCAGCTTCACTGGATGATAAGGCCACCATCTGTTGTTTCCTGCTGGCCTAGGAAACTGTACTGCCAAAAACTTTAAATACGAAACTGGATACAGATTTCCTGTCTACAGCATCTGAAGCCCATTCCGCGTCGGCAAATGCCACCAGAGCAGTTTAATTATCCTTCTTGGTGTATAGGAGATTCATGTCCTTTGTGCCTTTTAAGTAGCGAGTGATTCTCTTCAAAGTTTGCCAATGGAAATCTCCTGGATTCTGCTGATATCTACCTAGGTATCCTATCGAGTAGCTGATATCTGGACGAACACATAGCATTGTGTACATGATACTTCCCAGTAACTCTCGGTATGGCTGCATCGTAGTGCTTATATCTTGAACTTGCAGCAGAAAACTTCACGGCCAATCATACCAACTCAGCGACTGAGAATAATTGACTCAGAGAATTTTCTTTCCACATGAAATTTACTCAGATTTGGAAGAAACTGCAGGAACTCTATCATTGTCCCATGAGGCTGAAATCAACACGGCCAATCATACCAACTCAGCGACTGAGTATCTGAATCTTGATTCCCAGGAAGTAGCTGATTTCACCGCAATCTGACATTTGGAACATCTCGGAAAGTGTCTTCTTGATGTCCAAAACCGAGGAGAGCGTGAACACTCTTTCTTCGTTCAACTTGTTGTTCCAACAGCGTGGGCTTTGCTTCAATCAATATAAAGATTTCTTCAATTTGCATACCAGGTTGGACGGCGCATCAATCCCGTCAGGAACAGCCAGGTACACGTTCTCTTGAAGAGCCCCATCGAGAAAAGCGGTCTTCACGTCAAGTTGATGCACGTACATTTTCCTGTGAACCGCCACAGCTAGGACAGTCCAAATCGTAGCCATTTTTGCAACTGGAGCGTAGGTGTCAGTGTAGTCCAATCCATCCCTCTGTTAAAAGCCCTTGGCTACTAGACGCACTTTACAACGGGCAGGTTTGCCATCTTCATCCTCCTTGATGCGAAACTGCCACTTTGTACTGATAACAACAGCATTGCTTGGGCGTTCCACCAGACATCAGACGCTGTTTTCGTTCCTGGAGTTCAGCTCGTCTTTCACAGCTAAAAAACCAGTTACGTTCATCGGCGGTTCGTTGACTGAGTGATCGCAGGTTGGCTCATCGAAAGCTTGATTGCCGTATCAAGGTTCGAATCAAGTTTTTGCTGCGAATGGAGCGCTTCCGGTCTTCAAAGTTGCACATCATCATCGTTGTCACCAGATTCGTCATCAGAAATCAGCAACGTACCAGATCCAACACTCTGATTCACGTTTTCCCCCTCTTGCTCGGCTTGTGGTGGCAGTCGTCAAAATTGCTTCATAATGTTGCTCATCGTTGGATTCAACTTCCAGATCGTACAGTAAAATTGTCAGCGGCAATTCCGGTTGCTTATTCGTAGAAAACGGAAAGGAAAATGTATTGAAATTAACGTCTCTTTGAAGAGATAAATAGCTGTTTAGTCTCCGCATAGCATAAGCGGTAGCCGTTAGGATCATACCCTACCATCACTGCAGCTCTGCTCTTGGAGTATAGATTCTTTCTCTGTTGCGATGGAATCTAATACCCTGGACAGACTATGGCTTATATCATGTAATATAGGCTGTCTTGCAATGAGCACTCATATATAGGATTTCCAGTGAAAACACGATGTATGAGTGCTCATTGCAAGATAGCTTATATTACATGATATAAGCCATAGTCTGTCCAGGGTATAAGCAAAAGCCTTGCATCCGAAAACTTGCGTGGGTCCACTCTTGCTGACTATATAAACTGCAGCAAACACCGCTTCACCCCACATGGATTTCGGGGCCTTTGACTCCACTCCACTCCAGTATCGTACGAACCTTCTCTAGTAACGTCCGGTTAAACCTTTCTGTGCTCAATTTGGATACCTTGTTCGTTGCAGTATCGGCTCTGTTCGTAGGAACAATATTTACGACCTTGGTCAACGGTCAACGCTGCTGTTGCCATCGCCTCGTAACAGCGGAACTTCTCGAAGACTTCGGAATTCTTCTTCATTAGGTAAACGACTGCAAAATGTGTATAATCATCTACAAACGAGACGATGTACCGTGATCCATCCCAGGCAACAGGCGTGCTCGGACCGCAAACGTCAGAAAGGATCCTTTTCAATGGACGGCTAGCACGTGGTCGGGTTCCATTGAATGGTTGACGGCACTGCTTGGCCAGTACGCTCTTGCTCTTACCAATGTGACCCAATCGGCGATGCCAAAGATTGACGTCTTGAGTTGCACACAGATGTGCAGAACCGTTGAAATAGAAGACGTTCAGTTCGTAAAAGTCATCTTTCAATGGGCAGATCGCTATTTCACCAACAATCGGTCCGAAACTCACCGTTACGCCAGCTTTGGCCGTCCTCTTGAAGATTGGCTCCGCAAATCGTTCATTGATGCCAAGCAGTCATCATTGGTCGCCCTTGGCAACACCAATCACCACATCTAGAGCCAGCTGGTCTTCACCCAGATTCTCCAACGCAGTTACCAGGGTCACAAAAAGCTGCGAGACCATGTCTCCTTCCTCAAGCTTCGCACCAGCAGACTTGAGTTGCCGAATGAGCTCTTCAAAGATCTTGAGATGTTCCTTGATCGACGTTCTTTCCATCATCCTGAGTCTTGCCAGCTGCTTCGCGTAGACATTCTCCAACATATTCCGAAGTGGTTGATTGTTGTTCATTTTCTCTTCTCGATGTCCTCCTGGGTTGATGCATATATCATGTCACGCTCTAAGGGGGGAGTGGAGGGTCTGCGATTTTGTGACAAGCAATGCATTAAGTATAGGAAAAACGTTACGATAGGGGGGAAGGGGTAAATTTCTGCTCGATTTAGCGTGACATAATTAATGCATGGGCCCTTCTTGCTATTTTGCTTTTTGACTTCCGGTCCGCCATTCTGGATCTCAAAATTTCACCGGATGTTGTTCTGTAGAAACCAATATTGTAGGGTCTCTGTAGGATATCCGAGGCATTTTTACAAAACGGAAGTCATCTTCTTCCGGTCCACCATCTTGGATCCCAAAATATCGAGCACCGGATATCGAGTTTTAACATCTATTCGTCAAACCCGTTCCGTTGATGCCCATTATACAAGTTCTTCGAAGAATTTCACAATTTGGAAGTTGCCATCTTGGATTTCTGTCCGCCATCTTGGATCTCAAAACAGCACCGGACATCAATTTTGGACTTCTCACGCTTGTTCCGTAGATACCCATATTTTGGAGTCTTCAAGGCATTTTTATAATCCGGGAGTCACCATCTTTGGTTTCCGGTCCACAATCTTGGATCTCGAAATTGCACCGAATATCGATTTTTAACATCTACTCGTCAACCTTATTCCGTAGGTACCCATATTGTAGGGTCTTCAAGTCATTTTCATATAGCGGAAGTCGCCACTTGGACTTCGTTCCGCCATATTGGATCTAAAAATTGCACCGGAT